TTATTTATTATCCTTTATTTTACCAGGAATTATCCCATTGAGATATAAATCTCTTCTACCAGGGAGTCCTGGCCAAAATGGCAGCACAGAAAGTTTCACATACAGATTAGACACACATAAAACAAAACAAATAATAATAATAAAAAATATATATCATCCAACATCATATTAAAAATTACATAAAACATTCACAAGTTTCTTCCAGGTAGAACTCCAAAAGATTTCTAAAAATATTTAGAGATGGAATTGTTTCTAACATCATAACACTCTGCATTTCATTCCATAGCCTAGGACCATAGGAGGAAAAGGCAGTTTTGCCAAATTCAGAGCGTACTCTAGGAACAGTCAAATGTAATTTGTAAGAGTTTCTAGTGCTATAATTACAAGTATAATATGATAAAAGATTACAAATATAAGTTGGCAGTTTACCTAATAATGCCTTGGCAGTAAATAATAACATATGCATTTTTCTCCTTTGGTACAAGGATGACCAACCAACTATTTTATACAAAGTACAGTGATGGGAACGTGAAGATGTATTTGTCACAAATCGTATTGCAGCATGATATATACTATCCATCTTCCTTAGTAAGGACAAGTTTGCATGCATATAAACCACATCATCATAGTCCAACACTGAAAGGAAACAACTTTGGATAATAATTTTTTTGCTTAAAAAGGAAAGCACTTCTTAATACGAAAAAGAAAACCCAATTTAGGTCTGAGATTTTTTTTTTTTTAAGATTTTCAATATGAATATTAAAACCCAACCGTTCATCAAGCCATAAGCCCAATGTTGACAATGGGAAGAAGGTTTACCTTCCAACATGACAATGACCCAAAACACACAGCAAACCTGACACACAGTGATTGAAGGAGAAGAAGGTGAATGGCCACGTCAGAGCCCAGACTTAAACCCCATTGAAAATCTGTGGAATGACTTGAAAACTGCAGTCCACAAACGCTCACCATCAAATTGAACTGATCTTGAGCAGTTCTGCAAAGAAGAGTGGGCAAATATTGCAAAGTCTAGATGTGCAACGTTAGTAGAGACGGAGACAAATCCCAACAGACTGTAATTAAAGCTAAAGGTGG